ATCCCCGGTTGCCCCAGATCCCTGCCACTGTTGCATCATTCCGTTGGAGGAGGTCTCCATTACCCGAATCTCGGAACTCGAATAATCCTGTGAGAAATGTCCGTGTCAGAACTTGCAAGACGAAAAGATAAATAGGGGGATCCGACCGTCGGAGAAATAAGAGAAGACGGGTCCGATGGGCAGTACTGAGGGCCAACTGACTGCTCGCGAAGCCAGGAGATTGCCCGCAGTTCGCAGTCAGTGTGAGTGAGAGTCAGGCCACGCGCAGCGGCCGCCTTTCGGTGGCCTTTCACAAGCGGAGGGGTCCTTCATGTATCAAGGCCATGCTATTGCAGATCATGTCTTGTTTACGTGGTTGAAGAATACGGTGAAGCGATGACAGCTTCTCACCATTCATTGCTTCATGCAATCAATATCTGATAATGTTCGGCTTGCGTGGCGGGCTCCGCCCAAAGCTAAATCACCCGCACCATGGACATTGGCCACAACTTGTCAGCTGGCGACAGTGTCAACCTCGAAGCTTTTTTTTCCCTGCATAATGCAGGCGCCATATGATGGTGGGTTGGGTGGACAGAAACACGAACCTTTGGCGCTTCATGGGAAGCTCGACGCAAGCAATCGAAAAAAGAGCAGGGAATAATAGTGGTGTGTACAACTCCTGGCTTCCGGCATATTGCTCACCAACAAGCAAATCATAATGCGATCTCTGCAATAGCCATCTGCATTGTTTAGCATCCAAGGTAACACACCATCCAATTCTACATAATGTTCAACGGTTAAGCCTTCTGCTTCGGCGAGAATAGGTATTCGGTCCACGCCGCCCCTCCTCCACCCTTATCGCAGAAGCAACTTCACCTGGCTTGATGATGGTGAAGAACATCTCCCGTCTTCATCAGACTCCCCCTAAAGACCCGAATCTCGTTGATGCTGATTTAAGCTCGACGTCCTGCCATCTTCCAGACGGGCCGTCGTTCTTATCCGATAAGATAGCTCTCTATCAAGGTGGCTGGGGTGGTCGATAACGTGGTTTCCTTGACAAATCCAAACCAACTCAACAAAAGTTTCGGATACTGCGAGCCTTTTTGATATTGCTATCCTGTGGCTGGACGAATGTGGATTGTTTCTTCGACGTGGGGTCACATCTCTCTCTGTGTCTTCCCTCCACAAGGCCTGTCACAGCCGAGTTCCATGCAGAGTCATCAATGCGAGGCGTTGCCGATCACCACGTCTTGGCCGCCAAAAGCGAGGCGATTCTCTGTACAATGAACTCTCACCTTCCTCTTTTATTGGCCCCCAGGTTATTCATGTGAAATCTGTGCCTACCCACGACTGGATTGTCCAAGCACGCGCACCTGCACCAACGAAACAACCCCGACTCCGATATTTAGTGAAAACAAGAGGGACAGCAAAGCAGCGCTACAGTAGAGGGTGGACGATGCAGTTATTCACCTCAATGGGTTACTCTACCTCACCGCTATCATGCGCCTAGCTGCACTCTGGATAAGGTTGCCTGTGGATTTGATGCACAATTGCAAGCGTAAAGCCAGATGCATCAGAAGAGAGCGAAGGAGCTCCTTGTGGAGCAATAGTTGCCTTGAATAAATCGTAGTAACATCGCGGGACACCTTCAGATAGTACCAGTCTAAGTCGTGGCTGTTGTCGCTTGTCCAGGATTGCGTCTTCGACACTAGTCCAGCATGGAACGCAGCCTCTCATTCTCGAGTATACGAGCATGGACGTAGGTAAGCAAACAACGACTCGAACCAGCTGAGGTTGTTTGTCTATACCCAGCTGGACAAGAATTTCCCAAATCATCCAGCGCATGCAGTCCTCGAGCGGAATTCATATTAAGCCAGCGTCAAATATTGTCCTGTGCCGTCAATGGCTATTCCGACCTCTTCCAGATCATTCAGATCAACTGCTTCAATGTGAACTGCCCACGAGGCGATCAGCAACGGAATTCCTGGCACTCATTGTTATCCAGCTCAGTTGTACCAGCCATTGCAGCCAACTAGATGACAAAGGCGGGCATGTCAAGTCAGAAACCCCTTCGTCGCCCATCACCCCGCATTCCCAAAAACGCAATGAGAAGAGCAAAGAGCTTTCTTTGATTATCTCAACAGGATGAGGCTGTTTGGTATTAGTAGGAGACCCTTCACCTCCTCCAGATAGTGGCGTCTGTCCTTGGTAGGCCTCGAAGAGGTGCCACCAGCGCCACATCAGCGGGATAATCATTTTCTCCTTGCCGTATGCGTGTCCTCAAGATACGGCCAGAGCAACCATGACGTCGATGATTTTCCCCAATGCCTACAGAGCACTCGGTACAACTTGGGAGGGCTGGCGGTTACTGTTTATGGCCAACCACGAACTAACTAGAGACGCTCTCTCGGCCCCCCAGACGGCCCCCAGACGGCTCGGCTGAAGCTCGACGAGCAAGTCAAGAGACTCGAACCAGAAATACGGACTCCGAAAGGGCATTGCAGCCTCATGCACGTGCAGGCGCCCTTTCAACTCCTACTGCTGTTGCGGGGCGGAATCGGCGCGCGGAGAGCCTGAAAAGTATCGAGTAAGCACCATACCCGAAGCTGAGACGTTCGAGGCACAGCTGAACAATTGGCCTGCGGAAAGGCCTCAGGTTGGGTTTGAAATCCTCACCTTCGTCCCTTCGTCCTCTCTTTCTCGTTGCTGTCATCGACTGCATATATTGGCCCTGTTGTGCGTTGGTTGGTGTGACCGATCTCTCTGCACATGATATCGTCCCGCGTCCAAGCACAAAGCGACTTCGTGTATCCTGCGCTGGAGCTCTAAACTATCTCTGCCCATTCTGTTCAGTGCACCTCGGATTCCTGAACTCTCGGATTCCTCTCTCACTCGGCTCTGACAATTACGATCAAGCTCCAGCTCGACACCATGGGGGACTCAGTAAGGTTGCCGATGTCCGTCTTTCCAACCCCGACTGACTTGATGCCAGCGACCGACGCATCAGCATGCCGATGCAGACGGCCACTTTCGCCGGAAAGATAGCCAGTTCCGTAACTGGATCTCCAAAGAGCCAGGTTCCAAGTTCACACCTGAAAAGGACAGATATGCCCTTTATGGGAACTACGGATGCCCTTGGGTAGGCCAGCTCCAACATCCCCGTGAGATAGATCTATGGCTGACACTTGGTTCCAAGGCACATCGAACAATCCTCGTCCGCGGACTCAAGTCCCTCGAGCCCGTCATCCAGCTCATTACCACCGACTTCGACCTGACCGAGAATGGCTGGACCTTCACCGGCCGAAACGGCAGCTTGGGGGCCGACCCCTTGTATGGCTTCACGGGCCTGAAGCAACTCTACTTGAAGGCCGATCCAGAATATGTTGGCCGTTATACCGTACCCGTGCTATGGGATAAGAAGACGGAGACAATAGTGAACAACGAGTCGTCCGAGATCATCCGCATGCTCTATGATCAATTTGACGACTTCTTAGAACCTGATCAGAGGGAGGTCAACAAACCTGGCGGGGGATTCTACCCTCCGCACCTAAGGGCAGAGATTGATGCCATGAACGAGTGGGTATATAGCACAATCAACAATGGCGTGTACAAGACAGGGTTCGCAACCACACAGGAGGCGTACCACGCCAACGTCTACCCTCTGTTCAAGTCACTCGATCGTCTGGAGGAACACCTGAAGAATCCCGCCCACCAACCATACCTGTTTGGCGGACAGATCACCGAAGCGGACATCAGGCTATACACCACCCTCGCGCGTTTTGACGTTGCATACTACAACATCTTCAACTGCAATCTGAAAATGATCCGGCACGACTACCCTCGTCTTTCGAAGTGGTTGCGCAACCTCTACTGGGACACGTCCGACCGCACCAATGGTGGTGTGTTCAAAAACACCACTTTCTTCGAAGTCTACAAGTATGGCTACCTCCGAGCCAAGGGTCGTCAGGTGCACGGCGGAACCGACTTTGGATGGACGCTGATCATCCCCGCCGGGCCGGTTCCCGACATTGAACCTCTGACGGACGAAGAGGAGAAGGAACTGATTGAGGGTACCACCAGAAAAGTGAACGGCTTGACGCTCGACAGCAACAACCTGGGCGCCTCAGCCAACCCGTTCAGCGCCAATGGAGACAAGGCCGGCATGGGCGCCATCTTCGGCGCGGATGTCGATTCCCCCGACGTGGGCGGTGAGGATAGCGTCACCACGCCGACCACCGCGGCCGCGACGACCAGCGTGGGCAGTCCCGCCAGCACCAGAGACGGAGGGGACGAGGACGACGGAGACGCGGGCTTTGACGAGAACGGCGAATTCCACCCGCGCAGGGTGATTAAGAGGCGAACCACGTACAGCGACGCCAACGCCAAGTGGTACAAGGCGGCGAAGAAGGCCGAGAAGAAGATGGGCGCCCCGAGCATGCATTTGGCGCTATAGCGCTACAACGCTGGGGATTTAGCTCGAGCTCGCTTGCGTGGAAGAAGAGATGACAAGGAGACACCAGCCACAATCAAAGTTGCCCGCAATCCGAACCACTGGAGCTACTGCGAAGAAAGAGACGTCACATACAAGGAATGCTTCATTGAAGCTGGTCAGGGAATGGGTGGCCCAAACGAGTGGGTGAAGTGAGTGAATGTTCGACAATCGACGCAAAATTGTACAAGGAGCCAAAGGAGACGAGACTTGACTTGACTGTCTATCTGTCTATCTACCTGGGAGAAAAGCGTGTACTCTCTTTATAAACACAACACAAGAGTGGGACCTCCGGCGACAACACAGCGACACTACCAGTTGGGGGTTTGTATGGGGAAATATCTACTATAGCAATAACGAGGTAATCCGAAGTACTTAATGTATTCGGTAATCATGACCACGACACTTTTGAAGAATCATGGTTCATCTCATTCCTTTCCTGGACTCGTGTGGTAAAGCCAATGGACGCTTGCGAAGCCTTGTCTCTTAGTTTTCATCTGTATAAAACGGGGTTTTATATATCGAGTTTGGTTTATTGGATGCCAAATCTCCTGGCGATCTCGAGAAAGCCTCCCTCCCCTTCGTCGAGGCCGATCCACATGTCGACCCAGCCCTGCTTTCTCGCCTCCTCCGTGTCCTCCTTGGACCAGCTTTCCTCCTGCGGCCGATCGATGTAGATGGTCTGGTAGCCGCAGCCGCGAGCGGCCTTGAGGTCGCCCAGGTGGGCGGCGACGAGGGCGCACTCGCCGGGCTGCAGGCCCAGCTTCTCCGCGGCGCCGAGGTAGACGCTGGGGTGGGGCTTGTAGGCGCCAAAGTCCTCGGCGGAGATGATGTGCTTGTAGGGGAGGTTGCCGTGCGAGGCCAGGTCCCGCAGCAGGGCGGTGTTGCCGTTGCTGAGGGTAGCGGTCTCGAAGCGGGCGTTGAGCCGGCCCAGGCCCGGCGACGAGTCGGCCCACGGGTCGAGAAAGTGCCAGATCATGCTGATCTTTTGGACCTCGTCGTCGGTCCACAGGCCGTCGAGCCCGTGGTCGACCAGGAGCCCGTGCAGCGCCTCGACGTGGTGCTGGTCCACCGTCTTGAACTTGGACGGGTCCCGCTGCGCCGCCGCCGGGTCGTACGTCCGCGTGAAGTTGTAGTACGAGACGCGCCACAGCTGCGCGACCGCCGCCCACGACACCTGCGCCGCGGCCGTGCGCACGCCGCTCGGGATCGACGCCGTCGGGGAATTGAGCGCCTCCGACGCAGAGAGGTCGAGGTACTTTGTCACGGTCGAGCGCCAGTCGACCACGGTGCCAAAGACATCGGTGAGAAGGGCTTTTGGGGGGTTTGTGAGGGACATTTTCCTCTTTCTTGATCGAGTTGTGATGGTATTTTTTTTTCTCTCCCCTCCTCCTCCTCTCACCTGGATTGATATGTACAGTAATGTAGCGAAATCGGCATCCTATTGCGAAAGAGGGGCGCGGGGATATCGTCAGGCACTCTATACTGTTTTAGGATAAGCGTAGATTTCATGGGCTCGTATCGAACAGATACGGAATGTCAAAATACGACGTCATTCTCCTCGAAGGGCTTGTCGTCAGCTTCCCCAATCTTTCTGCTTTAAATCGACTGTGGCAAGGCTATGAGAACCTCATTCCATCGTTCATCTCTGTCAGTCCGCAAAGTTCTGTGAATCACATGGACTACCTCATTCTCGATGCTGAGGTCATACAGCGGTGCAGACAAGCTACACCAGACAATGTCCTCAGTCATCCGGCCAGTGACAACAAGGTGCTCGGACGGAATGAGTTCCTGGTTGCTAAGTTTGGATTCCTGCTGAGTGAGGATGAAGCTCGCAATCAGATGAAAGCATACGAGATTCTCGATCCTGGCATTGTGCATGTCCCTCGAGTATACCGATATTTCAAAGACTATAACAGGCATGGCTATATCGTCATGGATTACATGAAAGGAGAAAGAAAGGAGGCTATTACCACTCCAGCTCAAATACGTGACATGTTTCGAATTCTCTAGCACTTCGCATCTCAAAAGTCGCAAATACCTGGTTTGCTCGCCGGAGGACCTTCCTGCTGCACCCTCTTTGGCGATGCGGAATGTCCGACGTTTGCCTCGATGGAAGACCTAGAGAGGTGGTTCAATATTCGCCTCTTCAACACGTCAGCGCGAGTTTCGTTTCAACAAATGGACCTTGTCCTCTGCCATCTGGAACTCTCTCCCCGGAACATCATCTGGCTTGATGGCCAACCACAAAGTGTGCTCGATTGGGCATCTGCGGGGTGTTACCCTCGCCTTTTTGAACGCTACTCTCAACTCAACTCTCAACAACCGGAGGAGAACAAGGTTGTCTTGGACCAAAGTCTTTTCCGAGTTCGAGTCTCTCCAGGTCGAGCTGATACTCCAAGACTCATGGAACGAAGTGAAATATTGCTTGTAAGTTGCGACTTGTTATGTCCTATATCAAGACAAACTGACATCAAAGTAGTAGGCGCTCAGCTCTGAAATAAAGTCGTCATCGAATATAATCCATCTAAATTGCCACCTCGTCGATTCCCACCCCTGAAACTGCAGCGGACGGCCCATCACATATCGGGTCCACTGCAGTATGGGAAGTAAGTTCCCAAAGCCATTTTCCGACCGAAACCTCGGTAGAAAATATGACTTTGTCGTGGTGAGTGGTGCCCTCGCCAACTCGTATTTCGAATCAAATGACAGAAAGGCCGTCCGTCATATCATGTACAAGTAATATCCACCAAAAATTACCATGGAGAAGTACTTCGTAAGCATTGGAGAAAGAACTCTTACTATGAACGGTGAAGGGCTCTCTCCTTGTACCTGTAGGTAATAGATGTACCACCTAGAAACTATCACTTCAGTACTCGTACTCGCACTGAGCTGGAGGATCATGTCAATGCATTGCTGGTGAGGAGTTGGTATCGGATACGACAAGAGCCTAGGTGGAGGTTCGAGAGGTACGAGTAGAATATTGATGAGTAATGACAAACCGACGGTGTCTTTCCCCTAGGCATTACGGAGTACGGAGTACGCATGACCTATAGTTCAATAGATACTGGGCACTGATACAACTCACAGGCTAGATTATATGATTGTGTGATTGTACTCGGTACCAGTTCACACGTTTCGGAGGATGGCTCCAACCCCCGGCACCAACTAACGTTCTCCTTCCTCCTTTCATCAGTTGATCATTAAACAACTGACAATCAAGGCGTTTCTTTCTCCGAGAGACTTCTATGCGAGAGCACTCGGTGCTCGTGATCCGTACCTCCGCACGTCTCTGACCGACCCTGTGTCACTTTGAGGATGATTCCCTGTCGAATAAATAAGTGAGGCGTTTTGTGGGATTGTGGAGGAACTGGTTACTAGAAGAAAAAAAAAGGGAAGAGGGAAGGAAATTTTGTGGAGTTTGTGGTTGGCGCCATTCCTTCTACCTACCTGGGTATTCCTCGAGTCCGGGCACGACAGGTATGCCAGGCGAGGCGAGGGAGGTTCGGTAGAATGAGTAAGTGATACGAGAGACTCCATCTGTACTCGGTACGAGGTAGGTAGGGTGATCATCATGCTCGTAAAACTCCAGTTTGATCGACATCAGGGGAAAGGAAACCCGTGGTGGGCAATCAAACTACGAGGAGACGGCCACGATGCCCAACGAGCCGTGGATAAACCTGGCAAGCCTGGTAGTAACAATGGCAGGGCAAGGGAAGGTGAAACAACGTCACACACAACCGACATGATAACAAGAACCTAGTCCATGATCCATGGGCACCGAGAGGGCAAGCGAAGGGGGGGAAGAGGGGTCCGGGAACGTTTAACAAGCTCTTGGAACACGAGGCGAACAAGCGGGATGGAATACCAAGAAAGAAAAAAGCCACCACCGGAAGGAGGAGGGGAAAGAGATAGGAGGACTGGCAGATCAAGTCTGGCATACACATTATTGCGGCAACGCGGCATTGGCGAAGGAACTTGTGATGTTGTTGTTGTTGTTATTGTTGTTCGCCTTTGATTTCAAAATGTGTGATGGGACAAGGTGTAATAGTAGGTGCATACAACTATTTGTTGACGAGTGTGATAAAACAAATGTTAAAGTGTGATGAAAAGGTTAGTGTTAGTTGGGAGGCTTGGTAGGATTCATCCTTGTTGATATCCAGACACAGACAGGTACGAGTAGGGCAAGCGACTGATAGTGTGTGCGACGGTTTGTCGGTGCACGGAGCATGATCAGCATTTGTCGGGAACAACATCAGCCAACCAAACCTTGACTTCGGAGAATTTAATGCCAAACAAGAAGAGATTTGTTACGAGTAGAGGGAAGAAAGAAAAACCCTAAATATGGCTTCATTTACGAGGGGCCATACGACGATGGAGTACGAGGGACGGAGTTGCGGCAAAGCTTAGTACCTAACAGACGCAAACGAGAAAAAAAGGATCCAAACACTCAAGACACAGGCTGACTCGATATGACGGGATGGTGGCCCAAATAGGTCATGACTAGGAAAGACAGTTGGTGTAAGCGAGAATGAGAGGAGAAGCGAGAGAGACAGAGACAGACACAAGGAGAAACATGACCATGACAATAATGATGGTGATGGAGTCAGTATGATGATGCGGGCCCCTTTGAGCCAAGCAAAGCAAACACCCAGTCAAGCCCAGTCTTCCTACGAGCATCTACGAATACCCACCTACCTTCCTTGTACAAGTAAGTGGCACGGACAACGGAAGTGACCTGGGGGGAGCAAACAGTTCATGTTGCATGCCGTGAGTCCGTGACGGTGGTCTTTGTCCGATGCATTTACCAGGATTACGAGTCTCTAGGGAGAGATGCAGGAAGCCTAGGCGGAGTTAGAAGGGGAAGGGCGCGGGGGAGCGAGATCACTTACAGCCTACAGGCTACAGGTCCAGGGAGACCTACAGGGAGACCTGCTTAAACTCATGCCTAAAGGTACCTACGCCTTCATTTGCATGTATGTACTGTATGCAGGTCTGTACGTACAGTAGCACAATCACAGCCAATCAATGACCACTCCCTTCGTTATTCCTACACACCCTCTTCTTACACTCACATTCCAGACCTCGCATCGATACCCATCACCCACGAGGTACAACTGCCAAATAATAGCCACGAGAAAGGGTATCAGTGTTTTTTCCCTGACCCAGGAAATTGTCAAATTTGATACTTCGATCAATTGGCAAGCTTCAGGTCCAAGCTTGACTAGCCCCCCCAGACACAAAGCCTAGTCGACCAGCTACTGGTGAGAATCTTCCGGTGGTGGTAGCCCAGTGGCGCAGGGTGGAGAAGATGAAACACACTAGACATGCCACCAGGAACTTGACTCCAGACCGGCCCGTTGCTGCTGAAAAGACCCTAAAACCGCCCACCAGGTACCCAAGTACAACTACTTACCTAGCAGTGCCTAGGTAGGCATTGCTAGGGTATTAGCTCAATCGGACCTGCAGTGGCCTGAAGCCTGGAATCCCGATCTTGTGGTCACTCTGTGATAATTCTCTAGATACCTACTCGTAGGTATGTACTCGTAGAACACTCTCTGCGCCACGATAACAGTCCCTCGTACAGAAGCACCATGTGTTCTTCTTCAGTTCCACAATTGTCCCACGTTGACGCCACTATCACCACTTCCAGCGTGGCCACCACCATGGAACTCCCCAGCTGTTCAACGACCCGAGAAACTGCAAAACAGACTAGGCAAGCTGCGTGGTTCCTTCCGGGCTAAGACGGAAGCCCCCGTCCCACACCCAATAAAAGGTCCAAGGCTCATGGCCCACGGCAGCAACCCTGCCTACTTCCTGGGTCCCTAGTTAGTAGCCCCGCGCACCACTGTCCGTGCGCGAGCCTCATTCCCCCTACTCCCACTTGGGTCCTACCTAAGCCCGTGGTAGCCCTTTTTCACTTTGGTCAACTCCACCCTGCAGTCCCTGGTCAGAAAGACCATCCTCGCCTGCGCCCAGCGATGCCCCTGAGAAATGATTTTCCCGCGATTGATGCCTTCATGCCCAATCATTTCCTGACCCAATCTTGCGCCTATGAGTATGCCGGACGATCATTTGCAGCAAGTTCAAAGGCCCCAACAGGCCCATGAGGCCCATGGACTCCGCTCGCAGACGCGAGTGCGGGCGATAGACAGTCTTTCCCAATGGCTGCTACTCGTACTGGATTTTGTGCAAAGCTTCACTTTTAGCAGACTTCGCTCGACCCAAGGCAGAGGATCAGGCCCCGGCCTCGTCGGTCCTTTCTCGACTCTTTTCGCTTCAGAGCAGCATCCTCGTCAATCGTCACCCTGGTCCTTGAACAGGTTCCCCCAATTCACACAGACTAGGCTGGAATCAGATCAGCAAGCTTTCCCCTGTCCATCTGTCAATCCTATTGCAGACTGTCCGTTCCTTTGACCGCGCTTGCATGAGCGTTGGTTCTGTTCTGTCCATTGTCTCGTCAATCTTGCATGACCATCTCACCGTCTCGACCGCAACACTGTTTGAAGCCCTTCACGAGTCCACTGTGCGATTTTGCGAAACCCTGTTGGCTTGGTTGTTGCATTCAAGTCGTTTTGTTGCCTTTCCTCGTCATGTATTGTACGGCTCGCTGAGTAGTGATTCATGTCACTATTCGTTGCCCAAATCAGAAGCACAGGGACGAGCCATTCAAGCGATCCAAGAGTATGTGTATGCCCTACGCAGGCTGCACCTGAAACCCTGAGTCTCCTCGAGGGCACGACAACTGTCGACGAATAATGGACCCCGAGGTCAGCTATTCGCTACCTTCACCGACCGACACTCCATATCGAACACCGTCCAGTTCTCAATCCCTCCGTTCCCGCCGGTACGAAGACATGTCGCCCTCATCTACGCCTCCTCCAATGCCCGATGAACGAGCAAGCAAAAGACGAAGTAATGATTCACTCCATTCTAACCCTGCTCTGGACGAGAATATCTCTCCTCTCGACCCACGACGATTTACACCCACGCTCCATGCCTCCTTGGTGTCC